AACAACAAATGAGGGTTCAGATTATATGAGAGGAAATACAAACAACAGTTACAATGGCAGAAGTAGAGGCATTCACTCCAGCAAACCAGCCAATGAAACAGCAAGGCGGGTGTATATATTGTGGGGCTTTTCCTGTTCGTTTGAGGGGCAAGTGCAAAAGTTGTTCAACTAAAATACACCAGTGGAAAGTGTGAAAAGGAAGGAAACATTGCACGGAAGTGTTTGTCTGACCAAAGAAATGTGCATGCTATGGACAGTGAACAGGATGTTTACACAAGTGAGACAGAAGTGGGTCACAAGCTATTCACAGTGGATGATCACACCATAAGTTCGATGTCAGGCAAGAAGGTAAAGAAGTTCTTTGCGGAATTAAAACTCTCTGCAGTGAGAGACAAGTTTTAGTGGATCAAGGTGCAATTAGACTCGGCATCAACGACAATCACATTTGAGTTTAGCACAGTGTCAGAATTGTGTCCGCCAGGATATACCATAAGCAAGTTAATTCAGATGTCCAATACCGTGACAGTTTTAACCAATTTCAACAAATGTGATCTCTGTGCCAATCTGTTGTGAAAACTTGAATAAACTTTGATGATCCTTGAATTAATCCTAAGTATGATCAAACAAGCACAACAAATTCTGGATAAACAATACCCCTCAGCTACCAAAAAAATGAATCCACTGAATAATCCTGAGACATGCCTCGACAGAGTATCTGAATAATCATCATACTTTTCTTGATAGTGCCAATGTTCCTTCTAAAGAGCAGATGAGAGGATGACAATTCTCAAAGACGGGTAGCAATACCGATTGTTACATGTACAATCAATCTTCTCCAGCCCATATTTACACATACCCATATTTTATACTTCAACAGTTAATTCTAATGTTGAAATTTAAATGTTAGAATGGTATACATTTCCTGATATAATGACTAATTACTTTTAAAAATGAAGTTATACGATGTCATGTTTTTGTTTAAACGATAATTAATTTTGTCTATATTTATACCTGTGGCAGTTTTGACTTTAGTGGTAGCCGTTATGACTTCATTGTGGCCGTTTTGACTTTTTTCTGGGTCCGTTTTGACCTGCTCCCAGGTAAATCACTCGATTGTCTGGTCCAGGCTTGATTACTTACAGACCGCCGTCATATACCTGGAATATTGCCGAATGTGGCGTTAAACGAACAAACAAACTAACCTTCGTATCAATTTCTATTATCATCAATCATCAAACATGAATGGTTTTTTTCACATAAAGCTCATTTCTGTAATGTTCATATTTCATCCGAAAATACGTTTATGCGGACATGTTTGCCATTTATAAATCTATCAGTTTAAGGCTGGAGCCTATTTACGACTTTATTTTATAAAAGTCACAGCTGTCTCTCGGAAACAGCTGCATCACACAATCGTCCGTTCATTTTACAACCGCTTCCATGGGATCGGTACTGTGCACGGCTGTCAGAAGGTACGATGTTAAAGTATGTCCTAATTACTACCAGAAAACCATGAGCTTAATCAGCACGATGGTACCACCATATACCGCGAAGAGAAGTCTTACATAAGTCTCCCTGGTGGTGTTGGCTCAACAGCTGTTCCACCAGCGGTCCACGTTGAGTGTTACTAGTTGAGTGCCGTCCATTCAAACATTCAGTCAACCCCAAACACACTGAGGGTGAATATCGTTGCATACACATGGGTGTGTTGTAGATCCATTAGAAATGAGACTTGAACGTTTGATTATGGGAAAGGAGACACAATGTCAGTCAGTAGTACCAAAGCGGTGCCCATATATCCTGGCTTTTCAAAAACCTAATCCACAACAAATTGCTTATGTCTTCATATTGCTGTTATCTCTTCTAAAATTTTAATTAGGCGCAATTAATTTGATTACGAAATAATAACTGGACAAAAAAAAATGTCCTTGGTTCTGAGAGGCAAAAGTATCATTCGTTACCACTCGCATTTTCCGAAACATACATGAAGGATTTGGCTTGTTCTGGAATGGGTCACAAATGGCAAAAGTATATGAATTATAAATGTATATCACGAAGAATATATTACTAAAGATAATCTGGGACAAGAAGTATACCTCTGCAGGAAATCCTGATTTTTTTTAATCATATTATTCATGACAAATGTGTCTTCCAATGCGTGTTCTTCCTCAGCTATTATATTCTCTTTAAAAAAGTTGGCGATACTCTGCAATAACTTACATTTCCAAAATTATTAGAGATTTTAGTTTCTTGTAGTAGATGTATGGTGATAACAAAGGAATTGAGAACACATAGAAACCGGCAGTGAAGTATGACAGTAGATGTTATTACTGCCAACGATCTTGAAGGACGATAAGGGTAAGATGGGAAAATTTCAAACATGACTGGTTGTTTATCAGCAGTGCAAAATACCGCCACAAATTGTCAACCATTCATTCACTCGACTAGGAATACTGCGTTTGAGTCTCCCAATGGCGATTTGAGGGAATCTGTCCCACTACACTTGCATCGTCTGGTTAATTTCAGCTAACGTGGCCGGAGGTCTTTGATGTTGATGCAAACAACTTACTTTCATGTCCCAGACGTGTTCAATGTGTGAAAGGTGTGGGCTCATTTCTGGCCATTGGATTCTATAATATTGTGCTGCTGGAGGTGACAGCATGACGATTCGTGCATGGTGAGCACAGGCCTTGTTGTCCTGAAAGACAAAATGTCGACCCACTAGCCTTGTCCCGATAATACTGACCCTTCCTTGTACAATCTGGAGTGGTGTTTGCTCAGTCATAGTGATGCCACCCCACACGATAACCAATCCACCGCCAACTCTGTCATGAGGTCTCAGGTTGACAATGGCGTGACGTTAATTTTGAAGTCCTTGAAGTCGCTAATTAAGGAAGTGCAAAGTGAATGAGGACTCATCTGAAAACATGACAGGTGACCAGCGACGATGCCCCACATTCAACCTTAGCAATGACAATTGTAAGGGGCGGCACAACACAGTATAACACGTGGGCGTTGAGCAAGGATATTCGTCATCGTCTGACCTGTTAATTCCTACTCCAATAGCCTGGTGAAAGCTTGCAGCAATCTGACTTGCCGTTTGAGCTCGGTTTCATAGAGCCTGGTTTCGGATCAATCCTGTCAATCTTGTCGTTGACCTGGGACGCCCTAGACAGGGTCAATCGTCAACATTTTGGGTTTGTTCATACCTGTACTATAGTATGCTAGTCATAGACTGTGAAACATTGAACGTATTGGCCACTGCATGCCGACTTCTACCTGATTCCAGCATGCCAATAGCCAATAAATGCTCTGCATGTTTCAGATGCCGCATCGCTACATCATACACAAACAACGAATGAAATCAAGTAATGATAAGCAGAATCAATGATTGACAGAAATAATGGTCCACAGAGATTAATCGACCGACCTTGAAAGTGTCAATGTCAGGAATGACACTACTGCGTTAGGTACATGTAAACTATAGGATGTGTTTTGGTGTTAAGTTTTACAGATATACGAGGGGCGTTCAATAAGTTTTGCAAATTCAATATAAGACCAAGTCGCAGAATATCTTTTGCACTTTTAGTTTTCAATATAATCTCCATTCACCTCAATACACTCATTCCATTTGTCCTTGAAGCTTTTAAAAACACTTTTATAGAAATCCGCAGATTGGCCCTCTAACCACGCCTCCGTGGCGGCCTTTATGTCCTCGTCATCCTGGAAGCATCTTCCACGTAGGGCAGATTTCATTTGCCGGAACAGGAAAATAGTCTGGGCTGTAGGGTGGGTTATTTAACTGTTCGAACGAAGACTTATTTCCTGTTCCGGCAAATGAAATCTGCCCTACGTGGAAGACACTTCCAGGATAAGGAGGACATAAAGGCTGCCACAGGGGCGTGGTTAGAGGGCCAATAATATATATATATACACACACAAAAAAGAGTCCAGATATTTGTGCTTGTCAAAACTCCTTTGTGCTCACAAGATCCCTGCCACTTAACGTTTCCCCAAAACGTACTTACATTTTTAATAAGCTCAGGTTTTACACCGACAGATGTTTTTACCCATCTCATAAAACATTATCAGCTGATCACCACAAGCACATAACACCGAAAATACCAGTCAGCAAATCCGAACTGAAGTACGCAATTCAATACAATTATTATACTATGTTGTTATTAAAACGTGTTAATTGTATATCTGGACTTGTGTTTGTAATATATTTTATTAATTTTATTCAAAATTTCATTTAATATTGTTTTTATTAAGTTATGTGAAATCGTGTGTGAAGAGATACAGCAACCACGGTCAGATTACCGCTTTTGACGCATTGAAACGAACTTTAGTTGCTAGAGAATGGATACATATATTAAAAATGCCATACTTTGACTCGTTAAAAGCCATATTTGTGGCAATTCTTTGAAGTTGTATCACTGGTGGAGTACATTAAATATTTTCTGGTGTTTGAACTTTGAATTGTTTTGAAGGAAAGTTGAACAACTTCAGTAATCTTGTTATATTATAAAATAATTTTGACTGTTCCAAAATCATGAAAGGTTCAATCTTTAGATGCTTTAAGTCTTGTTTTTTTTTATCATTGCGTATTGAGATACTTTTCGTATCGTGACCAGAATATCGAGATGCGTATCATATCGTGACCTTCCTGTATCGTTGCAGCCCTACTGGAAGCTTTAACCTAGTCATAGGCAACGCACAATAGCAGTATGTCCCAAATGTCCCAGCCATGTCTCACATGACACAAATACTGCTTCATTACACCTGAGGAGCCATTGAGCGGTGAAAGATCCTGTGTTCAATTCCAGTTATAAGTTATGGTACAAACAGAAGTTATTTTTCAGACTTGGTTTTTGTTAGGGTTATGCCAAAAAAGTAAAAGGCTGTGAATAACAAAACTGAAAAACATAGATGGAGGACAAAAATGGCTGGTGACAAAATATGCTTTGTCAGTTGACAAAAATGAGAAATCATTCTGCTAGAAGTCCTGCAATTGTTTATTGCACATTCAACATACTGATATACAATTATGTAAAAAATTAATAAAACTCCCAAAAATTGCTATCACCCACCACTATCTTCAATTTCATTGATGTCATTCTCAAAAAGAAGGAAATCAACCAAAATATGTGGCAGTTGTGTTTTCTTTATAGATGAGCGAATACTCCTGCCTTGAACACAGTATCCAATTCTGCGGCGAACACGTGTCCGACACAAGCACATGAGACTTGGCACAGTCTCCCGACTAGACTGCAGCCACTGCTGGAATGTCTCTTGGTCTAGTTCACTGGCCAACTTAGGCATGACACTCCCAGCACTCAGCAGTCTGTCCTTGTGGATGTTATACCCAGCTACCGTCAACATGCCCAAATACTTCTTGCCATGATTCTGAAAGTGTTTGCACTTTGCAATCAAATGTGGAAAACTGGATTTCTGAAAACACAAATGGTCAATAATTGTTTAAAAGATGTATGAAACATGGACTCACCTAGGCCTATTATCTTCCTTATATATGCAGATCACAGATCATAAGTACATAAATACATAAATCTTGAATTTAAGGTGTCTCCAAATTAATGCGGCCCCCTCCCTATTTGAATGATACATATCCTTACCGTAATCCAACTCTACCATAATTCAATCAAACAGAAAATAGCACCGCTTATTAGCGCTGAGTAGAGCACTTCCGTAAAAACAATAAACATTGTTTTCCTAATAAGACACAGTTTATATGTTTACTCTGTTGACTGGAATTAAGGAAGTTTAAAGGCAGTAAAATAATTGAACCAACAGTTCACTAATCGGTATGCGGAGAATGTGTCCACAAACTTAAAGGCAGATGACAAGACAAAGGCTGTGATCTGAGAATAAGTGTGATGAAGCCATCGGTGTGTGTTGGGTCGTGTCGGTCTTTGACGCAGTGTTGCACCGATGGCGTCTGTCTGGACTGCTGGAGTACCCAATGATGCCTCGTTTGACACAAGTGGGTCGAGTGGGTATAACTCTTGAAACCAGCAGTGATAACTCACCAAATGCCTGTTGTGTAATTTCTATTCTTTGAATTACATTGTTATATACTTGTTAGAACTTCTGCTCAATAAACCGTGTTTGTGTATATATTCAAGTTGGTATTTCCGCTATCCAAAGTGTGCAATGAGGCCGTCTTATTGTTGATAGACATTTTGGAGACATAAATACGAAGTTTAATTAATGGGAGCAAAGACCAATCACATTTTTCGCATTTAATTCAAGCTTGTGTTAATTTCAAGGTTACTTTATACCAACTGACCTTCTTAAATCACCATAATTCTACATTTTCCCATCGCTAAAGTAGTAAATTATAACAGACTACTAGAGATCATTTTCCTTGGTACAGGTCACACAGTCATCTAAGGCACTGCCATTTGTTGTGAAGAGTTGCATCTCTTAGGCAAGCCAGAAATATTCTTCCCACAACAGTCTGTCAGGATGTGATATAATTGAAACACTGTTCAAAGATGTGTTAAAACCAAACACATTAATATCCTGGGAGGATATGGTGTTAGTATCTACACCGAAACGTCATATTCATTGTAATTAAGAAGTTGTATATCCATAGAACTATCAGATATCTCCATATCATACCAACTTCTAAAAGCCACTTAAAGAAGTATTCTGGTGAGGTTGTCCTCCAATCCTCCACAAGGACAATTTAACAAAAATTCTACCATAAATTTGGAAAATACTCGATTTTGACTGGTCAATCAGAGATTATCAACATACAATAAACCCCCTCTAATTGAAACAGCTGATTTGACGGCCACATCACCCCATCACCACTGACTGGACTGATGCTGATTTATAGTGCTAGCCCACTGAGATACCATGCCATAGTTTAACATGAATACCCCACTCAGACACAGTATACTGACTCCAAGCCGACCAGTCCTTGTTTTAGCCCCTTAATGCCGAGTGCCAGACAGGGTAACAACAAGTACCATCTTTTAACGTCTTTTGGTATGACGTGGCTCGGTATCAAACCCCGGACCTTCCGCTCTTTGGGTGGACGCTCTACCACTAGACCACGGAGGCGGTCTTGCGTAGAATGAGCGATATGACGTCATTAATATTGACGTACACTGTAGAATGAAATATTTGCAAGGCTTGCTTAGTTTTCTTTAGGGGTGCCCACCTCATGTTGGCTTAGGAAGTTGCAGTGCTACATGCTTTCAGTGCCTGTCATAAGTTCCAGTGAAATTGTATGATGTAGACAAACGGCTTGAGCATATACAGCGCTATATTTTGGTTACAGGCTGTGGTTGGTGATTCCATAATTCTGATTGACAACCCAGTCAAAACACTGGACTCAACCTTCACTCAATATATTTGCTGACACCAAAGAGTTTGCGTTTTATTTAATCATAGTAAAATGGAGATAAACATACTATGTTTTCAATGTAGAGCTAGGTTACCTGTAGGTTTAACCAAGTTAAATTTAACATTTGAAAGGCTGGGCTTTTGGTTCCAAATTCAATTCAGCATAGTTAAATGTACAAGTATCCTAGCTCTACATTGAACGCACAGTATGTTTATCTTCTAAGTATCTGTGTGAATGAGTAAGTGAGTTGTTTTCATGAAAATTTGAACAGTTTTACAGTTATATCACCATAAATGTTGAGGAAAACCTCCAGTGATGTTGGGTCTTTGATACATACAACTTGGGTGAAACGCCAAAACACAGGTTGCTGACAAACCCAGATACATGATCAGGGTGAAATGGTGACTAGTGGCACCTCAAACGCCTGGGCCGCTAAGGAGACAGCCTACCTGTGAGCCCAGGTTGACATCAGCTCCCTCCACAACCAGGTACCTAGCCATCTCAAAGTGACATTGCAGCAGAGCTTCATATAGAGGAGTTTCTCCTGTCTGAAAATGAGTGTTAATATCAAAATAAATGACAGTTTACCATGCAAGTAGTGCCTACCAGACATCATTGTTTTCATTTTGAATCTATAAGAACATGACACATTGTTCTAGTCTGTATTATACTACAATAATAGAGTATACAAACCAGGTCTTGGCCAATCTGTACTACAGTATTCAATCCTGGCCTTGGCCTGTCGCATATTACTGCATAGAGAAACAGTATGATTGACTTAGCCTGTTCTGGTATGAAACAAACCTTGGCTTTATAGTTGATGGCAGCACCATGTTCAACTAGCAGTTTAGCTATTCCCATGTGGTTTAGTTTTGCAGCCCATCTCAGTGGGGTCCATCCATCCTGTAGACATGAAAGAGGAAAATATCATGAAACATGTGCCAAGAATAGCAACTCCAAAGGAGGGGGTGGGGTACCGGGTAACACTGATCAAATTATTGATGTACTGAGCTTGTTCATTGCCAAATCAAAATATACTCCTCACAAAATATCGGCAAAATATAACAGTTAATGAGCAGAGAAAATTGTGGTTCCTAACCCTCTTGAGTATTTCGGCAAATTTTGGGAGTAAACATTTCACTTTGCAAGTTGCAGCTTTGATTTATCCACAAATTAATGGATGTTGTGTCATTGTTGACATCGGTATCACACCCAACTGTCAATACTTTTGAGAGACACATTACAAAGAGAAAAATGCTGACAAATTTGAGTGCACTGATATGTTCATCCTTACAAACTTGATTGAATGACTGGTGTATCCTGACATACTTGATTGAATGACTGGTGTATCCTGACATACTTGATTGAATGACTGGTGTATCCTGACATACTTGATTGAATGACTGGTTTATCCTGACATACTTGATTGAATGACTGGTTTATCCTGACATACTTGATTGAATGACTGGTTCATCCTGACAAACTTGATTGAATGACTGGTTTATCCTGACAAACCTGATTGAATGACTTGTTTATCCTGACAAACCTGATTGAATGACTGGTTTATCCTGACATACTTGACTGAATGACTGGTGTATCCTGACAAACTTGATTGAATGACTGGTGTATCCTGACATACTTGATTGAATGACTGGTGTATCCTGACAAACTTGATTGAATGACTGGTTTATCCTGACATACTTGATTGAATGACTGGTTCATCCTGACAAACTTGATCGAATGACTGGTGTATCCTGACATACTTGATTGAATGACTGGTGTATCCTGACATACTTGATTGAATGACTTGTTTATCCTGACAAACCTGATGGCTTGACTTGTTCATCCTGACAAACCTGATAGAAAGACTTGTTCATCCTGACAAACTTGATTGAATGACTTGTTTATCCTGACAAACCTGATGGCTTGACTTGTTCATCCTGACAAACCTGATAGAAAGCCTTGTTCATCCTGACATACTTGATTGAATGAGTTGTTTATCCTGACAAACCTGATGGCTTGACTTGTTCATCCTGACAAACCTGATGGAAAGACTTGTTCATCCTGACAAACTTGATTGAATGACTTGTTTAACCTGACAAACCTGATGGAAAGACTGTTCATCCTGACAAACCTGATTGCTTGACTTGTTCATCCTGACAAACTTGATTGAATGACTTGTTCATCCTGACAAACCAGATTGAATGTTTTGTTCATCCTGACAAACCTGATTGAATGTTTTGTTTATCCTGACAAACTTGATTGAATGACTTGTTCATCCTCACAAACTTGATAGGATGACTTGTTCATCCTGACAAACCCGATTGAATGACTTGTTCATCCTGACAAACCTGATTGCTTGACTTGTTCATCCTGACAAACTTGTTGGAATGACTTGTTCATCCTGACAAACATGAGTGAATTGACTTGATTATCCTGACAATCTTGATTGAATGACGTGTTCATCCTCCCTAACATGTTAGATAATAATGAGAGTTAACTCAACACCTTATGATGCACACCACTGTAGTTAGGAAATGGCAGACATGCTTGGTTGTGACATCGAATACTGCCAGAAACATGTCCATTACTGGAAGGTGAAGGTCCTCATCATGTCAGCTTATTACAAACAGATAACCTGCCCCCAGCAGTCACACGTTCAAGACTGTCATGTGAGCTTCCAAACACAGCTCACAGCTAATATGTTGTCCACACTAACTGCTGTACAGATTATTCCAATGTGTATGTAATCACTAAATGAATAACTAAACATATCCTACTTTTTCTTACATATTTGAAAGAAAGTAGCCTCATTAGGAATCCCCTTTTAATGCTTCAGAGAGAAGGCGACAAAATATAAGATAAATATGCTATAACTTGTAGTACACCAGGTTGAAGGAAACATGCTCTGATTGTATATAGTGTATAGTGCGCATCCCTCCAGCGTGTGGCCACTGGGACTCACCTTGCTCTGTATGTTGGCCTTGGCTCCTGCTGCTAGCAGCTGCCTGACGACATCTTCGTGTTCCCGCCACACAGCCAGGTGGAGGCTGGTCTCCCCGTCCTGAAGCCACAACTGTCACTAGCAATACATGTCTCAATACTTGTAGAAAGCAGTACAGGGTCTCCAGTAGCGAATTATTTTCAAAACTGCCATATCGCTGTCTTTTTCTACTTCATTTATGATCACTTTTTTTAACAACTTATGATTTCAAAGATCTTTAATAACAGTTTCAGTCTGGATCAGTAAATTCTTTTGCTGTTATTCAATCAATAATTGACAAGCATATACTACTCAAAACATATTACAGAACACCCGCAATTGGAGGGCTGTGTGTGTTGCAATAGCCCCCACCATGACAGATTAACTAGTCATATGACAAAATCAGTTGTTCTTTAACTTCTTTTAAGTAGAGTATATACTGTATTCCTTACCAATGTGCGAGCATCTATTCTAGCTCCAGCCTTCAACAGATGAGTGACTATATCTGTTAAGCCTGCTCTTGCTGCTATATGAAGTGCTGTGCGGCCATCCTGGCAAATACTATTACATGTAAACAACAAGACACTGCATGACAGAAACAGTTCTCTCCCCTGTGCCATCTTCAAAAATGAACTGGGGTGATGAAGTTATTAACAAAAACATAATATAGTCATCAATATCAACTTGACAGAACTTTTCAAAAAGACATTAATCCCTTGATCTGTCTGGGTATCATGTCATGCAATCAACCTTGTCAAACCAATCCAATTTTGTCTCTTATTATAAGTGAGGAGGACATAACCCCAGTTCACACAGGGGCCAACACCAACGCTCAAATGCTGAAGACATTCATATGACAAGAGAAATCAACCATTTCTTTCAGGACTAATGACAAAAGAATTCTTCTGATAATGTTCCAATGCAATAGTTCTCAATAGTAATCTGACTGATAATTACTTCGAAATGGAGCAATGAATTTGTTTACCTCATTTGTGGCCTGTACCTCTGCCTTTGCTTTGATGAGAGCTTGGACAATGGAGACACAACCAACTGACACAGCTTCCAGCAGCAGTGTACTACCATACTGAAACAGATGGGGTACTTGTCATTCTCAGTTTCACATATTAACTGTGACCCTGTTGGTTTTAATTGCAGACAGCAATGTTCAATACAACTTCATCATGTCAGTAATTATGGTGTGTGATCAAACAAGCTGTTGATAGTGTGAGAAACTATTCCTTCCATGGGGATACACAATTACCTAGGTCACACACTGCCAACTATCGGATCCTCATTTGAACATGGCTCTTATGAGAAGTACTGGGGAAATTTGAATCTATTCTGCGCTCGGATCTATGTAGACTTATCAGTTTCAAAAGAGAATAAAATTTTGCAATGGGGTCTACAATATCACTGCTATGTCAAAGACGGTTGTAAAGTTAGAAGAGTGTGATGTATCATGAAAAAGTCAGAATATCCTGAACTATGATATACAGCCATTATTGGAAGACCATTAGAATTCAGCCCCACAACTTCTTATGAGGATGACCTCTGCCGTAGGTCACGTTTCACTAAGACAAGCATCCAGTAACTTTCAGTGAGAATATATCAGACTTGAAGTCATGACCAAGAAGCGAACCAACTGAGCTATGTCCACACTGTTAAACAAAGTGCAAATTTACCTAGTCATCATATCTGGTCTTGTCTAAAGGGTTACAGAAATGAACCAGGGGCAAAGTGGTGAGAGACACTTACGAAGGCTACGTGTAGCCATGGTATCATGTGACATGTATGTCAATGAACATTTTCGAATGATGCCATTTGGCAGTTCCCGTTCTGTAATCTACAAAATCTCAAGTGGTAAGGAATGAAATGAGTAAAACTGCTCTGGGTGTAAGACATTGAGTTCACGAGTATACATGAATGAGAGGGTATTCAATAATTGCTAGGGTGTTTCTGTGCCAGGTTGTGTGCGGTGAAAGGGGGTTTAACTTTGCGTCCAAGATTTTGTGACAGAAAAGCGTGGGAGGAAACACTGTAATGATAACATAGATCATAGTATGGCTGAGAAACTTGTTCTGACGTAACAAGGGTGAGTGGATGTTTTAATAACATCTTAGAGTGTGAAATGTAGGAAGACAAGATTCTTGTCATCAAGGCTCTGTGGACTATGAAACTGAGCAGCACATCACTCATCAGCTGATATTGTGAACATGAACACAATTGTATTGTCGGATGATACGATTTCGGACATCATACATTTCTGGATGGCAATTTTTGCGCTATAACAATAGGTTTTACTGTGCAAATATTTGGCAAATATATGATGGCTTGTTTGAACATAAAGTTGTCTTTCACAGGTGAGTGAGATGTTTTACTCTTGTTCATGTGATTAGCAAGAAAACTACATGTTTCTTAAGCATCTGAAAAACCATAATACAAGGGATATATGGACAATATGTATGTACTCTTTTCCACCAGAGTTCATTTGTTGTTTTAACCAATCACATCAAATTACTTTGATCTCTGTACTGACCGAAGTACCAATCTGTTGTAAACATGTATAATCTTTTATTTTAATGAGGAAACTTTGTTGTTGTTGCTTTAAGTGTCTGAAAAGTCATCTTCCACCTTAGCCTTTGACTGACCTGTCTTTGGGAGGGACCTTCCATTGCTTTTATTTCAAACTAATTCATTTTTGAGTAGTAAAACTCAGTGTCACCTTAATATTTATAAAAAATGGAGGCTTGTGTCACAAGAAGAAGAGACTTCGTGGCCAGGAGACTGTACAAGTAAGGCGTCATCACACCATCCAAGCTCATAAATATCTATGCAATGTTAATCCTTGTGATATGTACAATATATATAATACAATTAATGTGATATAATAACTGCATTTGTTGTCTCTATTTTTTTAAAGCCGTTTTGACTTAGTTGTTGAGGCCGTTATGGCTTGTTGGTGTGTTCGTTTTTACTATGGTATGAGGCTATTTTGACCTGCTCCAAAACGGTTCCAAAAACTAAGGAGCGTTAATGGGTAAATGATTGGCAAGATATGCCCAACCCCAAGGATCGTGCAGGTGTGTTTGATAGGAAAGGGGTACCTCACACCAGTGATCACAAAGTTACAGGGAATGATCGGAAAGGGGAAACAAGGACTAGGCCTAATGGTAGAGTTGTGGGGAACCTACCCAAACAACGATCAAATCGACTCGGAAGATATGTGAAGCGAGAGCCTCAATTAGCGCCATTTAGCACTATATAGGCCTGAGATGCGCCAGTTAATATGCAGGGCCAAATGTCATTGTTGCCAGGAAACGTTGTCTCCCAACAGAATATTCACGCACTGCCAACATTGTAACAGTATATCGAAAACAGAACACACGACGCAGACTCATGTAACGCGTGACCGGTAAATCAATTTAAATGAAAATAAAAGGCACCCAAAATCTCTGGTTGACATCAACACCCCCTTTAACCAGTCGCTGCACTGTCTGCAAGTCTCTACATCCTACAGCCTTCTTAAGACGCGATATCATAGCTCGATCATCGAGGCATGACATTGTGTTTGTTGTGTATATAATGTGCACATACTATGTGACACACGACTACAAACACTTAATATACACAATAACATAGTATATATTGCAACAACTTAGATGAGTTTGAAAATGAACCTGAAAACTCATTAACCAGGTTGGGGGTGGGGTCACTTTCCCAACCGAATATTTTCCCCTCAAGCAGAAAGCATATACAAACTTTCACAAGGAAAGGTAGTTTTCTACCCTCCTCTTCCACTGGCCAACATCGTATTTGCTGAGAAACCGAATTCAGAATCGATAAAAATGTAGATACATATGTTTAGATTTAATTATATCCTTATCTTTTGTCATTGATGACATGGGGCAATTGCAATTTGAAACCTTTGCAACAGAGACCATAAAATAAATTTTATGTTCTCTGATAGCAGCTACTCCGGAACTGTAAACTAATAATTGTCATTGTTTACTCTTGTAAGTTTTAGGATGCTTGTAAAGTCTTTCAAAATTCACTTTAAGCAAGCTCATATTGTATTATGTATATCAATCTTACAGTTTATAATTATCCATTTGTATGAATATTTAATATTTTGTACCAGTTCCACACCTTTCACTGATTCCAAAACCAAGACCTATAGCTGATCGACTGGGAAAATGGGCATACCTACGGACATAAATCAAGCGTAAAAGCCTTTTGCCTCACAATTTTTTGTCCCTTTCCTTTTGATTACTTAAGAAAAATGTATATGTTTGCTTGATGTCATTTAAAAAAGAAAACATGTAAACCTTGCATGCGTGTTTTACGAGTAAACGTATGTAATACGTGGCTACGAAAATACTATGCACTGCCAAACCGGTTTCGGTTTGATGATGTCCAAGTCTCGAGTTTTCTCATAACGTCTCGAACCCATCGCAACAACATGTCGGACACAGAAATGTGCGAGGCGGATACAATGCAAACAGAAGAGGAAGAAGGTGTCTATTTGACAGAAGAAGAGTTGAGTTTGGTTTTAGTCAACCCCTCTTTGAGTTAGCCAAGCTGAGAGGCCTAAGAATGTTCATTATGTTGCCATAAATACACGTTCACACACGTGTGAAAAAACGAAAGTGGAATTTTGAAGATGTTCTGGAATAGTCTAAGTAAACACTTATCATTAATTGAGTATGCAAACATAAAAGTATTGCTTCATTGAAAATCTGCTCCGACCATTTTAAAACTGTCTTAATTGTTGCCTATTTTATGCATGATTAGATGAATTCATACCAAGTAAAAGACCAACTGGATTTCCATGTGATACCCCCTATTTTGTGTGATTCTATGACTGAACTTTCTGATAACAGCAAAGCAGGAGCCGCTGACCGGACTGTCAGTGAATTGGTGTTCACAATGTTGTGAACTGGCTGATCATATGTGGTAGCCTGGTCATACCAGTGATGAGGGTATCTCTGATGGATGGATGTCGTTGCTCATGCTATTGGCACTTGGTTTGTCATGTCAACTGAGGTTAACAGGCGTCTGTTGTGTGGTGCTGTACAATGCTGTCTGCTGCATGAAACAAAATACACTGATTCATTCTTAGTTTATTTATGCTGAAACATGTTATCAACAAGTGGCGGGGCATTACATATCTGAGAGCAGTACCTTTACAATTCAGTACCACAACTTCTCGTGAGGACGATCTCTGTCGTAGGTCACATGTCTCAAAGACAAGCAACCAGTTTTTGTGAGAATCCGTAGGACGTGAACTCGCGACTTTCGGATTGTTAGCCCGACAGCTAACCGACAGAGCTACGTCCACACTGTGAAACTAAGTGCAAATTTACCTAGTCATGCCTATGACGTTACGGAACTGAACGAAAAGGGTCGAATAGGTCACGGACACGTACAAAGGTTTACGGGTAGACATGGTGTCTCGTAACTTTAGTCTTCGGACACTTATGAATGATCCTGATGACATTTGGCTCACTTATCCCATTCCATAATCTACAAGATACTGAATGGTGAGGAATGAGCCGATATGGCGCAAACTAAAAATGGCTCCAGATGTCAGACGTCGGACTCACAAGTACGCATGAGTGATACGGTATTTAATAATTCGTCAGGTGATTTTTGTGACAGAAAGGTGTGGTAGTGAACTCTGTGAGGATGATGTGGATAATAGTAAGGAACGAGGGAGGCATGAGCATGGCTACTGATGACACAACTGTGGGTTCGCTTTTGAAACAGTACTGTAAAAATGTAGCCGGTGAATGTTCCAGGACAGTTTCTGGTAATATTCTAGTTAATATTCAACACAAAACCATTTCATCCTTTTTACTCGACGTTTTTGTGTGAAGAATATTAGGAGCCGCTATCGTATCTATAATGCCAAAAAACAGGTACCTAACCCTAATGATAGTAAAGGGGGGATTTTATAGTAAAGGGGATCCAAGGGCTAAGGATAGAGTTTGGGATAACCTACCCTAACACTGGCGACATTTGGATGTGTTCAGCGCCAATATGACATCCCTAATAAACTGCATTCTTGTGCATAATAATGAAAATTAATGAACCGAAAAAATAATATATGAATATTAGTTCACATTCATAACAATTTTAGCAACTTGAATTACGAGAAAAATGACATACAAAATATATATAAAATATATATAAAATATAAGTGCTTTCATAATCTAGCGCTTGCTCTAAAATGTGCCGCCGCCGGCTATATTTAGTTAACAAATATTCAAAACTCTCAACACCGCTGGGCGTATTCAATGACATTGCGTGTTGAAATGATAGATCACTGGGAGGAGCTTATGCACACTCAATGACCCCTGACGTCACAGGGCATTGTTTCGCTGGTGTGACTGGCAACAAAATACTACAAATTACGTCATAAGGTATTGTCATGTGTTTGAAACGTTTTGTGGTACTGTACTCTAAAGGTAGGCCAATATCTGGGGACATCTTTTGAATATAGCACCACAACTTTTTGTGACCAAACTTTTGTACAGTACTCGTGACCTTTGGATTATTACCCCGACAGCTAACCGACTGAGCTATGTCCACACTTTGAGTAAATTTATCTGGTCATGCCCAAATGAATGGAAATGGTCAAAAAGGTGACAGACACTTACAAAGGCATCACCAACGAGTGATACCCATGCTATTTCGCACACTAGTCCCATTCCGTAATCTACAAGATACCGAGTGGTAAGGAACGGACCGATAAGGTGCTGTAGAAATTACACCACAAATTTTATTTGACTTCTATAAGTCCGCAGTGCAAACAACAGTCCCAACTGACAATAACATGCACACTGAGACACAATCGGCTCAGCCCTCTGTAATACGCCATCTCTCTCTCTCCACCTTTCCCCAAAACTAACTGCCCAACCACACACACAAGCACATCACAATATCATAGAAGCTATATACATGCACAACATAGTAGACCCGTGAAGATTCCGGGGTAGAATAGGTCTCCAGCAACCCATGCTTGCTGTAAAAGGCGACTATGCTTGTCGTAAAAGGCGACTAACAGGATCGTGTGGTCAGGCTCGTTGACTTGGTTGATGCATGTCATTGATCCCAATTGCGCGGATCGATGCTCATGATATTAATCACTGGATTGTCTGGTCCAGACTCAATTATTTACAGACCGCCGTCATATAGCTGGAATATTGCTGAGTGCGGCGTTAAACAACAAACAAACCAACCAACCAACCAACCACAACATAGTATGTAACAAATGCAAGGATACCAACCACACTTGAGCATCAAAAGAAACCGTAAGTGATATTGTATGTCATGCGAAGGGAGATAACTCTGTAATGGCATAACAAAATATCGTCAGAAATATAACTTTACAGCACGAACTGAAAACGGTTCCAGGCGTCGGATGTACTAGTACAGTGAACTACGGTTATAACGAACTCAAAGGGACTACTAATTTTAGTTCGTTATAACCGTAATTGGTTATAAGCATATATACAGCATAACTACAGCATATAGTGGGGACTAAAAAGTTAGTTCGTTATATCCGTTAGTTCGTTATAAGCGTGTTCGTTATAACCGTAGTTTACTGTATGTATAAATGACATTTTTGTGTGAAGAATATCATAAATGCAGCTGAAAATTTAAAAGCAATACCATACAAGTGCATTTATTTGCATGCGTTCACGCTTCGGCTCCCATCCTTTAAAATGCAGCAGAAGGCGATAAAACCCCTTTAGACCCCCTGTGCAGCTCTTACCCATTGTTTTCATTACAAAACTGGAACCTACAAACCTAACTGATTGAAAACTCTCAACATCTCTGGGGTTATTCAATGACAATGCTTGTAGAGATGATAGCTCATGTTAACCATGACTTGCAGCAGTAGAAACTAACAGGTTTGATACACTAGTCCTTATAATGATATCATATAGCAAAACCCTTAAAAGGCAAATGTCTACTAGTCCTCATGATACCTTAACTACTGGGCAGTTTGGCAAGGACTTCAGGACAAGTGCCAATTTCTAACACTGACTTGACCTGTTTCCAGTGATTTTTATTTTTTTACTGATTTTTTAACCCTTCCAAATCAATTTTCTATGTCAGCAATGTTCAAGTACATGTAAACAAAACTGTTATACAAAACTGAAAATGTAACAGCTTTTATGCTATTAAGTAGTCGTATTTATTAGATTTAAAGTAAAATATAGTTGAAATGTTGCATTAAGTGTGTTATTCGTGTTAATGTGCACTGTTCCTCAAAATTCTCAGAACATTGGAGCCAAATTATTTCTGGGGGGACTCACAACATTTCAGAATGACATGGCCTCTAGGGCTGGCGAACAGTTTATTTAGTTTTGTATTACCTGACATGTCTGCATGTCTGAGGACAGATTGGTTGTGGTGCAGATTGAAAAAAACACACATGCGTATACATAAAACAAGGAAAAGCAGCTCTATTAAAATATATGGTAGTAAACACGTCCATACTTGGTTTAATGATTTATAAATGAATTGAGAGTTCTCACAACCATGACTATACTAAGATCACCATACTTAATGTGTAATTTGTCAACAGAATAGTGGCAGAAGCAGAAAAGAAGAAAGCCGAGGGTAATACCTTCTACAAACAGCAGAAATATACAGAAGCTCTGTCCCACTACACAGAAGCAATCAGTGAGTATTGTTCTGTCAATATCACTTTCCACGGCTAGCTATGCTTTGTGGGGTGTTGATTAATCCATGGCAACCCTGTAGTCACAACTGATGAATCCAAGGACGATGTTGTTGAAATAATTCTGAAACCAAATTTTGCTGCTTAAATTTTAATCTTAATGGTTGGAAATACACACTGGACATGTCAAGTTGGAATATTAGAATTACTTGATCATATTTAATAGAGCTAGAGCTCTAGTTTATCGCTGTCACCTTGTGTATCCAATTTGATCATGATTGTTGGTTTATTGTTGCTTCCACTTTGCAAGTTGTATGGTTTAGTGTGTTTAGTGGCAGACACAAGTTTGGCCAAGAAGTCATTTGTTAACACAAGATGAACACAATAAACAAGGCTAACAGTTGCTGTGTGTGAACAATTGGTAGCACTGACACAGTTGTGAATAGTTGGTAAAACTGACTGAAATCACACAGTTGTGAACAGTTGGTAGCACTGACTGATGTCACAATGTCATAGTTGCTGTGTGTGAACAGACAGTTGGTAGCACTGACCGAAGTCACATAGTTGTGAACAGTTGGTAGCACTGACCGAAGTCACATAGTTGTGAACAGTTGGTAGCACTGACCGAAGTCACATAGTTGTGAACAGTTGGTAGCACTGACCGAAGTCACATAGTTGTGAACAGTTGGTAGCACTGACCGAAGTTACATAGTTGTGAACAGTTGGTAGCACTGACCGAAGTCACATAGTTGTGAACAGTTGGTAGCACTGACCGAAGACACATAGTTGTGAACAGTTGGTAGCACTGACCGAAGTCACATAGTTGTGAACAGTTGGTTGCACTGACCGAAGTCACATAGTTGTGAACAGTTGGTAGCACTGACCGAAGTCACATAGTTGTGAACAGTTGGTAGCACTGACCGAAGTCACATAGTTGTGAACAGTTGGTAGCACTGACTGAGGTCACACAGTTGCTGTGTGTAAACAGTTGGTAGCACTGACTGAAGTCACATAGTAACTGTTGCTGTGTGTGAACAGTTGGTAGCACTGACTGAGGTCACACAGTTGCTGTGTGTAAACAGTTGGTAGCACTGACTGAAGTCACATAGTAACTGTTGCTGTGTGTGAACAGTTGGTTGCACTGACTGAAGTCACATAGTTGCTGTGTGTGAACAGTTGGTAGCACTGACTGAAGTCACATAGTTGTGAACAGTTGGTAGCACTGACTGAGGTCACACAGTTGCTGTGTGTAAACAGTTGGTAGCACTGACTGAAGTCACATAGGAACTGTTGCTGTGTGTGAACAGTTGGTAGCACTGACTGAGGTCACACAGTTGCTGTGTGTGAACAGTTGGTAGCACTGGCTGAAGTCACACAGTTGTGAACAGTTGGTAGCACTGGCTCTGGTCACACAGTTGTGAACAGTTGGTAGCACTGACTCTGGTCACACAGTTGTGAACAGTTGGTAGCACTGACTGAAGTCACATAGTTGCTGTGTGTGAACAGTTGGTAGCACTGACTGAAGTCACATAGTTGCTGTGTGAGAACAGTTGGTAGCACTGACTCACAGACACTGTTGCTGTGTGTGAACAGTTGGTTGCACTGACTGAAGTCACATAGTTGCTGTGTGTGAACAGTTGGTAGCACTGACTGTTGCCATGTATGTCAGTATGCTAAGTGAAGTGCTGTGATGGTCACCATGGTCCCACACACACAACCTGTTTTGTTGAGATTGCAGGTAAATCTCCTGTAACCCATACTTGTTGTAAAAGGTGACTAAGTGAGCATCAGGTTGTCAGTTGGAGAACACTCGGCAATTGGACAATCCACTGGGAAGATGAACCTATTGTCAACCATGTGTGAAGTGTAAGTTAGACTAGGTGTACATGATGTGTTTCACAGTGTGTAGTCCACACACAATTTAGAGTGGACAATTTTCCAATATTTGTTGCTCCTTGCCTTCCTGATTCAATACATGTGTTTTCTTAATTCATCACCAAGTGTGGGTGCATATGCTTATTAAGAGATTAGAAAAAACTGGTAGAGGTTTCATCCCATGATTTTGTGAGAAGCCTTTTGCACACATTGACATGAATTGTTTTCTCCCAGATCTTTGTCCCTCATGTTCAGCCTACTATGGGAACCGCGCTGCTACGTACATCATGCTGAACAAGTACAAGGAGGCGCTGGAAGACTCACGGAAGGCTATACAAATTGAACCGAATTTTGTCAAGGTGAAGATTGGTATTTGATGATAGCTCAGATGAATGCTTCCTGTTTGCCCCAGAATAATGGCAATACTCACTATTTGTTTTACATACTGTGTACAGATGCAGATGTCAAGTTATCGCAATCAATTTCAAAGTGTACATGTCAACTTTACATGCTATATTGCCCGGAAACGTTTTGATTAAGTACCATTAAAACACTGAAGGTCAAGGTTCATCCTAATCAAGGTTATAACATTATCAAATCTGTTATGACCAATTGGTATGAAGTGAAACAATGAAACATTGTAAAGGTTTTCCTGTAGCTTTTTATAAAGTCGTTTTTGTTGTTGTGATCTTAAGGTCAAGGTATCAGACCTTTACTATATGAGAAGCACTTACTAAATTTAAGTAGATTTAATGTTCATTCAGTGTTTGGCATGTTCGGTACTGCTTAAGTTTTTTGCAATATTTAAATTTTGACCTTTTTATCCCTGAGCTCTTAAAATGCATTTTTGCCTGTGTAAACTTTGTCTCCTCAGAAATTGCAAAATTGAGTGAGGTAGCTCAACTTGCTTGCATGCTTGTTTCCCTTTATGATCATGGTGATTTCAAAATATTTTATTCAATTGGTTAGATTTTAGCGTTTGTGTATAAAATATATAACTTTTGTTCCGTGGGTGTCTTTGTTTTTAAACTGCTGACTACATGTCAGGTGAGCTACAGTGCAGTGGCACTGTTTTTATTTTCTGAGCATGCTGAGGGCTGAGTTCAGCATTTTGCCATTGATAGATTATGCAGATTAACTCATGGGACAAGGCTTCTTCTGTTTCTGCAGGGATGGAAACACTTTCCATTAATACTAGTGTCCCAATATTGCCTGTCAGTAGTAGAAATCAGCAAAAATCAGCATAAAACCGGACTCTCTCTCTCTCTCTCTCTCTCTCTCTCTCTCTCTCTCTCTCTCTCTCTCTCTCTCTCTCTCTCTCTCTCTCTCTCTCTCTCTCTCTCTCTCTCTCTCTCTCTCTCTCTCTCTCTCTCTCTCTCTCTCTCTCACACACACACACTGGAATATTTTCCCGCTGAGCCAGAAACATTACTCGTTTACATGTAAGTGCAGGGGCGGTCGGGTAGCCTAGTGGTTAAAGCGTTCGCTTGTCACGCCGAAGACCCGGGTTCGATTCCCGACATGGCTACATTGTGTGAAGCCCATTTCTGGTGTCCCCCGCCGTGATATTGCTGGAATATTGCTAAAAGCGGCATAAAACCATACTCACTCACTCAATTAAGTGCAATAACCTTGTACGCGATGTTAAATCCCATGTCACCTCACCACCCAGAAGTAGAAATGTTAGAATGTGAACAGTACACAGGCTTAGATCCTACTGCACGATAAGTGAAACTATCGGAGGACTAACTGTTTTCTCCCAATATCTGGTTCTTTTAACAAGCCTCTAGCCTAATTTGTGCTTCAACTATATGCCTTCTACCCTTTTTGGAATTAAATTGTAGAAATAGAATGACTTTTTTAGGTTCATTGCCAATGATATATGTTCCTAACTATGGGTGAATTGCTTGTGTGTGCTGCAGGCACATCTCCGTGAGGCCAAGTGCCACCTGGCCATGGGAGAGGCTGCTGCCGCTGTACGCAGCTATCAGGAGGTGCTGCAGAGAGAGGAAGGAAACACGGTCGCTAAAAATGAGGTTTGTACTCACTTAGCTCTCCTCAATCCCATAGATCATACCTGATTAACCAATTAATTAAACTTTACTCAAGATTGGCTGTCATGTTGTGTTAACTATCTGTGAAATTGGTCAATGTGCTGCTGTTTTCAGTGAAACAGTGAAATATCAGATGTTTTGTGTATGGGTAACAAAATAAGCCAAGTACACAAAATGTGTCAAGGGTGACCTCCCTTTGGCTTTGTTCTGCAGCTGGAACATGACATGCTTGATGAAGTGTCTAGTGAGAAACTTGATTGTTTCAGTTGCAGTCAGCACAGGGAGTGCAGGAGTATGAGGATAGAGCAGATAAAAGCTTTGAGAAAGGAGATTTTAGGACGGTATGTGATAATATTCTTGTTTGGTTTCACATTTGCCTGAGTTAAATTGTCTCTCATAACACAAGGAGACATTGAGTTTTTCATTTGCATGCTTTGCTGAAGACAATCTTTGACAGGTACGATACTGATTTGGCAAAAACAAACATGAAACAGTACCAAACATACTGCTTGAGACTGTCATACAATTTTGAAGTTCTACATTAATTGCTTCCAAGCACTAACGAGTATGACATAATGAATTTCATGATAGGTTAGATATGTTACTGAAGAGAACACAAGGTGTCATTGCGTTAAAACCTCTACTCCATGGTATGTTGAAGCACTATTAAACCATTGTGTTGCAGGCTGTGTTCTGTATGGACAGATGTATAGATACATGTCCTGCATGCTGCAAGTTTAAGATCAGGAAGGCTGAAGCCCTGGCATTGTTAGGACGTTACCAGGAGTCACAAGAACTAGCCAAGTAAGTTGACAGGAAATACATGCAGGATTCACAGACACAAGCTTTTGGTTACTAAGTACCAAGGATTCTTTTTGAAATTGGATGCACCTGTCAAAACACAGATCCACATGGTCCAGCTTGATAGCCAGTTTGGTCTTTAATTTTCTAAACATTGACTTCAACAAATAATTATGGATTTTGGACAGATTCATTTCATAGACAAGTCTCATGTTGACAGGGTATACTTGCGAACAGAAGAGGTAGAAATGTTAATTTTACCTTATCCTCACTCATACTAATTTCCTTTTCACTTTCTTCTTCCCGAAACATAGTGGAAATTCTTGTGCAGTGTACCAAGTGAACAGGAAATATCTCACACAAATGCCCTCCTCTCACACTCAAGCGCACCGTAGACACTTGACCAACCAGTCTGACTCATCACTCCCTTATTTTAGCCCCAGCTTGCTGGTGGGGAATTTTCTTTTACTCTTGTAATTCATGCCATCCTTAATCAATTTGCCATTTCCAATTAAACATTTGGCTTGGATTACCTTTTTTAAACATTCCTTAATGATATTCAATGGTTATTTTTTAAATTTAGCATAGAATTTCCCTCTTTTTTGGCTCTTAAATTTTCCTCTTGTTTTCAATATGAAAACGTGTACCACGTGTCTGCATATCTCCAATCATGATCCACACCCAATTGGTTCAACCGGTATGCCATACAACTGTACCTCAGACGATAAATGCGACTTCTGCTCCCCCTTGGCTCAAGAAGAATTTGCTGAACACATTTACGTACATTCATGCAGGCTCACTTTCAAGCAGCCTCAGATTGAGACCCTCACCCTATCTGCTCAAGCTGCGTTCCTCAGCACTGCATTGGGGAGAAGAGATGTAGTTACTGCACTCCTTTGGGAGAAACAATATCTCTTTGTGGTGCAGAGGTGGAAGATGTACTGTAAGAGGAAGGAATCGTCACGATCTGCCTCTACCTCTACCCTAGGTAGCAAAAGTGACAACATCCTTTTGAAGGGCTCTACGAAGTCGAAGAAGAAGTCTCCTGCAGTTTCCTCTGCCCCCCCAGTTCCTGCAGAAGAAGAGTTCAGACTCGGAAGAAAGATCCATTTCTACACAGCCCACCACTTCCATGCAACGGACCACCTCCATGCAGCCCCAGACAGTGGGTCTATCACTATCTACACATGTTGGCAAGCTCCTTCATGTAGCCACCAGGGAATGACTAAGGACCAGGCAGCCTACCCCATCAACATCATTCTCTGAGTTGATTTCACAGATCTCACGCCGTTTGTCTTCAGCTCCAAACCCTAGCACCTTCATGCAATCATAGACCTTCATACAGGTTCCGGCCTTCATGCAGCCAAAGGCCTTCACATAGGTCCAGACCTTCATGCAACCCCAAACCTTCATACAGGTTCCGGCCTTCATGCAGCCACAGGCCTTCACATAGGCCCAGACCTTCATGCAACCCCAAACCTTCATACAGGTTCCGGCCTTCATGCAGCCACAGGCCTTCACATAGGCCCAGACCTTCATGCAACCCCAAACCTTCATACAGGTTCCGGCCTTCATGCAGCCACAGGCCTTCACATAGGCCCAGACCTTCATGCAACCCCAAACCTTCATACAGGTTCCGGCCTTCATGCAGCCACAGGCCTTCACATAGGCCCAGACCTTCATGCAACCCCAAACCTTCATACAGGTTCCGGCCTTCATGCAGCCACAGGCCTTCACATAGGCCCAGACCTTCATGCAACCCCAAATCTTCATGCAGGTTCCAGCCTTCACATAGCCACAGACCTGTACAGAGGTTCAGGTCTTCAAGCAGCCACAGACCTTCGTGTAGCCTCAAGCCATCATGCAGCACCCTATCTGCATGCAGCCTCCAGTGTTCATGCAACTTCATGGGTTCACTCACCCTCCAACGTTCACACAGCCTGCATTCTGATAACATTCCTACTAGCTATACAGCATATCAGACGATACATGAAAAACTTCATGCAGACTACCCTTTCAACGTCAACTTCTAAAGAAAATTCTTAGTCCTCACTGTTCCTCTACAGCTCTGAACCCTAACGGCTCCCATCTATTTCAAAATGAGGATGTGTTCAAGCTTGTATTTCAAGGAGGTAATCCATGCCATTGGAAGGAATATACCTCCACCTGTGAAGAAGACCAGGGCTACCAACTTCTAGTTTCAACTCAGACTTCTTCTCTTAGTTGGAGCACTGACTTCTTACTGAAGGGTGCTACAAAATCTAAGAAAAGCAAGTCTTTACCGTCAGACCCTGGCTAAAATTTTCAAGCAGTAGTTAAGAAGATTTTTGCGTCCTCTTAAAGCCGTCTCCCTGCACGACGATGCATAGATAAACGAAGGCTCACACCTCTGCAAAGATGACGTTATCATCCACGAGTGAATCCACGAAACCTCCCTCCTCTAGGAAAGAAAACACCTGCACGCAACCCTCCACATTGCAGCATCAGCAGGTTACCAAACCTTCGACAATGTCACAGGTTCTCCCATTTTCAAATCCACAGCACAGGCCTTTCAACCACACACTCTCTGACCTTCCTGCAGACACAATCCTCCATGCAGACATGGACCTTCGCACAGACACAGTGCTTCACGCACTCGGACCTTCGCACAGACACAGTGCTTCAAGCACTCAGACCTTCGCACAGACACAGTGCTTCAAGCACTCGGACCTTCGCACAGACACAGTGCTTCATGCAGACTCGGACCTTCGCACAGACTCAGTGCTTCAAGCACTCGGACCTTCGCACAGACACAGTGCTTCACGCAGACTCGGACCTTCGCACAGCATTCTCCTTTCGCGCCACATTCTACCTTCATGCAAATTTCAACATTTGCGCAACCTGTTCCTTTTTCCAAGAGTGCTGTACACTGATCTAGTTGCTAGACCGGTGACGGGATTGTCACCAGTCTCAAGATCAATACCCTCGTCTTAACAGGGAAGATCATCACAACATTAACAATCCATTAGACATTCAACAGAGTCGTCATTTACTACCTGATACCAGGTTACAGAATCATGGTTCACAACTATTATTATTATCACCTACGGATCCAAACCCTGTTATTGTGATGCAGTCTCATCACTGCTTCAATCTATCTGTACCAAGAGACCTGGAATCGATTTGTAAAGTCCCATTCAGTCCCCCCATGTTGATATTGCTGGAATATTGCTAAAAGGGGCTTAAACGTTACCTCACTCACTCCCAATTGCATGGATTGATGCTCATGCTGCCAATCACTGGATTGTCTGGTCCAGACTCAACTATTTTACAGACCACCGTCATATAGCTGGAATATTCCTGAGTGTGGTGTTAAACACTCACTCACTCACTCACTCACTCACTCACTCACTCACTCACTCACTCACTGCTTTCCTCCTGCATCAAGCTGACATGATGTTATATAATTGGAAACTGTTGAAAGTAGCATTCGACCCAACTCCCCCACCCCCCCACCCACCCACTGAAGTAATGTGGATTAGCTGGACAAGAGGATCTGCATGCATGGGGAAGAGAATATTTGTGTACATGGTGAAATCAGACAGTAACATAGCAGTATTTATTGAACAAACGTTTAACCTGCCCTTTGCCTTGATAAAAGACTAATCACCTGTAGAAATCTCATCATCTCAGACAGGAATGGAACTATATCACACTCTTTAATGTTCAGAAAGTTAGAGGGGTTCTTGAGTATTAACATTATAGTATTTGGAACAAGGGCCCCTCAAATTTTTAATTTGTGACAGGGTTGTGACAAGGACCCCTTGACTTTCTTGCTTAATTTCAAAAACTGCTTGCACCATGCTTATTGTGGTAGTCTTCATGTGTGTGATACCTGGTCATTTTGTCACCACAGTGATCATACAGGTTTCTCTAGTCTGTATGTTTGTTTCCACAGTGACATCCTACAGCGAGGGGGTATGAACGCTGACGCCCTGTATGTGAGGGGGATGTGTCTCTACTACCAGGACAACATAGAGAAGGCCTTCCAGCACTTCCAACATGTACTTAGACTAGCGCCCGATCACCAGAAGGCCAAAGATATTTATAAGGTGAGAAATAATGCATTCTTTGGGGAAGAGGTTTACAGTGCCTCATGCCTGTCATGACGGAATTCCCCTGAGAGGGTACAGAAGCCCAAGTCATTCAAAGTATTTAATGTCTACCAGTGTTTAATTGTAGAATACTTGTTTGTTTTAATCTTTGGCCAAACCTTCTCCATAATCTCAAGTGGCTAAAGGGATGGTGTCAATCCTGCTGGGGTCCATGGAGGTAGCTAAGGTACTGTAAGTCCCCATGGTCCCAAGTATGGTGGCCTCACTTTAGTTGCTGGTGATATATATATAGCCCAATTACATTAAGTAATACGTTACCACTGTTATACCGAGGCTGTTGTCTCCCACAACTGCTGCTATAGCGAAATCTACCACAGAGATCTCAATTACCTCATGCAGCACGTGCGTAGCCACCTAGCTGCCATGTGACACCCTTCACTCTTGTCTCCTTCGTCTGCTTAGCAAGACGTGTTTTCTTCTGCTGAAGCGTTCCTTGAAGATTTGGTGATATTTATTATAGTTTATTCTCTAATAAACTGTGCTTTTATGGGGCGTTGCGGTAGCTACGCTTGGTTATAATTTTCCCGCCAAACGGAAAATTTTTCCCGCCCTTTTTTCTATATACTTGCGGGGTTCGCGTATGCACGTTGTGTTTTACGTTTCCCCTGTTCTTGTATGTTTTGGGGGTTAACATAACTTATTTCTTTAATAAAAGTTATATGTGTATGTTATATGTTCACATTGCTCGTTTATTTTCTTGTGAAAATGTTCGTTTGTGAATCATTGTGGTGCGTGCGTTGTAACCATGTTTTGTTCTTTGTTTATAGCAAACAATCAATGTCTGACATGGATATGTCCCCAGTATCCACCCCCTCTACCCCTGCTCCTCGGAGTTATGGGGTGTGCAGAAAGTTTTTGTCGTCCCGGGATCCCCACGATCGTTGCCCGCGGTGCAGGGTTCCTTGCGGGGACACCCGGTGCATCCTGTGCGAAGGTCTGGGGCCTGCGGATTTTGAGCGGTACCGGCTGTACGTACAGTCCGTCTCCACCCCTGTGGTGGCCGGTTCGTCCGGTCGGGGTCCCCGTGCGGGTACCACCTCCTCGGCTGCGGCGGATCCCCTTGCGGCCCTCGGGCTGTCTGGGGATTCCGTCGCCGCATTGTTGTCGAAATTTGTGGATTCCAAGCTGGCGGCCTTATCGCAAGATAGGCCGCTGGCTGTTCCGTCCCCGGCCTCTTCGGTGGCCGCGGGGTCGGACGCGGGGTCCACCGGTAAAGCGGCGGATCTCTTGGCGGCCCGTGTGCTGTCCGGGGATTCCGTCGCTGCATTACTTGCATAACTTGTGGACTCCAAGCTGGCGGCCTTATCTCAGGATAGGCCGCTGGCTGTTCCGTCCCCGGCCACTTCGGTGGCCGCGGGGTCGGACGCGGGGTCCACCGGTACGGCGGCGGCTCCCGTGGTCATCGGTCCTTCCCCCGAACCGTTGCTCCCGCTATCGGTTTAGGACCGCGTGGCCATGGTTTATGACCTCTTTGAGGACATGCCCCGGCCGGTACCGCGGGGAATCCACGATTGTGGGTTCCTCCGAGGTATACGATGAGTCTTCCGACACGGCTTTCCCCGCATCAACCTTGCTGCGCGGTTTCAAGCCTTCCTTGGAGAACGCCTTCGCGGCGGCCTCCGGTCGGGGTCTCCCGTTGCCTCCGATGTCGTGGAGAAAGGGTTTATTCCCGGTACATGACCTTGCCTTTCCCGAGGCTGGTCCTACCGCGGAGGCCCATGTTGAGCGGTTGGGTGTCCGTGCCCCACCGGCTGCTACGGTAACGCAAGCTACCTTGCACCAGCTGGACGCCCTCGCTCGGCACTCCATGTCTCACGGAGACACTTACTTGGCTGCAGCGGCCCGTCTGGTCGAAGGTTCTCCCACGGACCGTGACCAGCGCATTTACAACTGCCTGCTCAGTTTAAATGCTTCCCTGGAGTACGTTGCCGAGGACTCTCGGCACACACTTGCTCTTGTTGGGTCCCTGCATAGGCGCCTGGGTGCCGCTCCTAACCGGAGCGCGCCCCAGGCTGCTGCGGCCTGTAGGTCTAAGGGGTCGGGTTCTTCTTCCTCTGGGAAGTAGCCCCGCCCTGAGGGCTCCGGTATGGGCAATCAGCTGCCCTTTCGCGGGAAGACGGGGAACTGGGGGAAGCCCAAGTCGTCGACGGACGGCAAGGGCCCCTCCAGGTGACTCTCATTGGAGGGGTTCGTATGCCGACAGCGCCAACTTCGGTTGGCCCTTAGGCGAACCCGAGTCACTTGGCCCTGGACAGTTGCGCCTGTCGCAACCTGTCAGGGCCCCCTCTCCTTCCCCAGTGGGAGCCAGACTCCAGACTTACTGGGAGAATTGGGAACAAGTGTTCGACGACCCGTGGGTGGTCAACACGATTCGGTACGGCTATCGGCTTGATCTCAAAGCGAATCCGCCGCTCACCGTTGCCCCGTTGGCAGGTTTCGATTCGGAAACCGATCTTCCCATCCTCGCCGATGCCATCGGCAGGTTGGTGGAGAAGGGGCAGTACGGGAGTTAGCTCTACCAGAAATAACACCGGGGTTTTACTCCAGGATATTTCTCGTTCCCAAGTAGGACAGTGCCGAACTCAGAATGATTCACACGTCCGCTCCCTGGCTGTTCACCCGGTTAACCACCCCCATAGTGGGGTTCCTCCACAGGAGGGGTGTCCGGTACTTCGCGTACCTGGACGACTCGCTAGTAGCAAATCGAATGACGGACACCCTGTCACGCCATCTCGATTTCGCACGTCGGCTCTTGGAGCAATTTGGGTGGATTATCAATCTCCCCAAGAGCGAGTTAACCCCTTCTCAGAACTTGCTGTTCATCGGAGGTCGGTTCAACACGGTGTCCCATCGCCTCTTTGTCCCCCCAGACCGGTGGCACAAAATTCAGGCGATGATTGCCAAAGTCTTAGCGGTGCAACAGACTGTTCACTTTTGGGAACAGCTGTTAGGGCTACTTGTATCAGCCCAGGACTGCACCGCACGGGGTCGTCTCCAACTCCGCCCGCTGCAACGGTTTTTAATCCAGTTGTTAGCAACGGAGGTGAACAGTGCGACCGTCGCCCTCCCGGATCGGCTCCGACCGCATCTGGAGTGGTGGTCGGTCCCTTACATTGTCTTATCAGGAGTCTCTATGCGGCCCTACCGGGCCACGTTGACCCTGTATACAGACGCCTCTCTAGTGGGCTGGGGCGCCCATCTAAAGGGGGAGGTGAGCTCGGGGCTGTGGTGCTTAGACGAACTAGGTCTTCACATCACTTGTCTCGAGTTCAAGGCAGTGATCAACGCAGTCAATCACTGGAAGCATCGTCTCGTCGACGCCCGGCTCATGCTGGCGACCGACAACACGACGGTAGTGTCCTATGTGAACAAACTGGGGGGAACCCACAGTCACTCGCTACTCGATCTCACGTTCGAGTTTTACGCTCTGGTGGACAGTGTCCCGTGCCAGATACGCGCCCGTCACATCCCAGGTGTGCGGAACGTACTGGCCGATGCTCTATCGAGGCCTCAGGATCCGAGCCCCACAGAGTGGATGCTGAACCCAGTAGTGTTTCAGTGGCTGTGCGAACGTTTGGGTCGTCCGATGGTCGACCTGTTCGCAACGCGGTTCAACAATCAACTCCCGTTGTTTGTATCACCAGTCCCGGTCCCGAGGGCCATCGATCACGATGCTCTCGCGTTAGACTGGACGGGCTTGGTCGCTTATGCTTACCCGCCGACAGCGTTGATACCACACATTCTAAGCCGGCTCCGAGGAGTTCGCTGTCGAATGTTACTGATCGCGCCCATGTGGCCGAACAGATCGTGGTACCCCGACTTGCTGACCCAGGTCACGCAGTCGCCACTTCCACTGCCTGTGAGACCGGATCTCTTGATCCACCCTCACACCCGTCGGCTTCATCCAAACGCAGGGCAGTTCAATCTGCACGCGTGGATGTTGTCACCGAGCGTCTGAGGAGTAAAGTTTTTTCTCGCCGGGCGTCTCGGGCATACGTTAGTATGCATCGTGATTACCCAGAAGGTGTATAATGCACGTTGGGTTATTTTCACGAAGTGGTGTTGTAAACATCACATTCATTCGCCAGATAAGGTATCTGTGCAGGATATTGCTCGTTTCATGTCTCACTTGCGAGAGACCCGGAAACTCTCCGGGGGTTCCATTGCCAACTATGTCTCGTCCGTTGCTACGGTACGGGACGTTGCTATGGGTACCAGTCTCTCCAAAGAGCCGGTGATACGGGGTATTATCAAGGGTTTCAAACAGCACGATCTTAAGAAGGGCCGCCTTCGGGCACCGGCCTGGGATCTTTCCCTAGTGTTGCAATCACTTACGGAAGCTCCGTATGAACCCTTGCATAGTGCTTCGTTCCGGCATGTGACTTGGAAAACAGCATTTCTCCTCTCCTTTGCCACGGCGGCACGTGTATCCGAAATTCATGCACTCGATGTCGCCAAGGTACGATTCGATAGGGGTGACGAAGGAGCGGTCCGCCTGGGCCTGCTCATGGGCTTCGTCGCCAAGAATCAGAGAGTCGGGCAAACGGAGAGAGAATTCACTGTAAGATCACTCAAAGAAATCTTACATCCTGCTGATACTGAGGACAGAGCGCTGTGTCCGGTTAGGGCCCTTAAGTATTATCTTAAGGCTTCGAATGAACGTAGACAAGGGCGTGACCGTCTGTTCATATCGTGTAACCCTAATCGCACGGTTGACATACCTCGCAACTCGATTGCGTTGTGGCTTCGTTCTGTCATCAATCTGGCGTACCGGTCTCGGGGGTTACCGGTAGCGGGGTCAAACCCGCACGAGATCAGGGCGCTAGCGGCAACATTTGCCCTACACTCGAATATCTCTGTTCGCAGAATATTACGAGGTTGTTACTGGCGTTCTGACTCGGTTTTTGCCAATCATTACCTCAAACAGGTCGCTGATG